AATTAATGAAACATTTTTTACATAAATAATGCAAGAAACTTAAGAGTTTATTTTATTAGAATATTATCCAGTATGAATGCATGTATTTTAATATTTATTGATAAATTTTTTTTTATATAAACACAAGTACAATAATTCAATAAAATTTTTTTGGCAATTACAAATTGACATTAATAACAACTTTTTTCACCTTTGCAAAATTTCTTTTCTACTTTATATAATTAAAAGTTTGTGCCAATTTTTTTATATTTCATGTTTTTTGTAGAAATAATAAAATGACTTTTCAAATAAAAATGAACTACAAAATAAAATGTATTTCACTGTACAGTTCTTTTTATTTTATTAAATTAGAAGTTGGCACTAGTTCTTCATATCACATTTTTTGTACCAATGAAATTTATTACTAAAAAGACTTTTGTAGATGAAAATTTTTGTAAATAAAATTCTTTCTTTCTTTTACATAAACAAGAAAAGGGGCGCGTGAAGTTTATGTTATTTCCAGGATTATTGTGAATAATGAGCGGATATTCAGGTAATTTATTATCTAGTTCAAATCATTAACCCTAATTTTTAACGCGAAAAAAAATAAAAATTAAATTTGCATGCAAAGTTAAATATACAATGGATAATAATGTAATCATTAGCGACAGCAAAGTGAACAAAAATGATAATTGTGATAAAATGTTATTCTATTCTTACACGCAACACATTCACAGATGAATGTCTATTAAAAATCTAAGAAATAGCGCTCACTCAGCTAAATTTTATTCATTAATAATTTATTAAGCAATCAAAAAAAAAATAGTTCAGAGTTTTACGATTTATTTGTTATTCTGGAATAATGCTCTGTAATTGTGTGTGCGAATTCTAAAACATATCGTGTCCGCATGTCCGCACACAGATGTACGGCATGAAATATTACAAGATGTTTTGTTCGAACTTATTAAATATAGATAGGAAATTTTTACTACATTTATAGATTGCTAAGACTTTTTTGTGACAAACAGAGTATCAGTATAGATCTCTATTTATAAGGAGTAAAAAGATCAAAGTTAAAGAATATAAGTTTTATATCTGGCATTTTCAAAATTAATTATAAAATATTTATTTATATAAATTAATTATTGATCAAATTATTCATTAATTCATATTAATTCTTATAAATTCTTAATAATTTACAAGTCATATCCGAATTAAAAACTAAAATTCGCATTTAGGTTGATTCAGATTTTATAGCTTTATCAATATTCATTTAGAATGATTTTTTGTGTATTTCCAAATCTTTCTACTTCAGTACAGAAATAATCAACAATATATAACGGATAACAATGTAACTATTAGCGACAGCAAAGTGAATAAAAATGCGAACCGCGCCGCACTCCTGCGCGTGCTTTGTTCGGTTTAATGTGAGCCGTGTTCATTCGATAATTGACAACCCTTAAAGACTGTCCTATCTCTTTAAAGATGACATGACTGTGTGATCATAATAATTCGAGTCATAATAATTCGAGAAATTAACGTTAATGAGCACGTCGGATGAGCAGATATCTTATCTTTATCTTTGTATACACATGTTGTATACACATGAGGATGACTCAAACTAGAGCCGAAACGTATGTTATATATTTTTAAGTTGTAATAAAGGTCAATTGCGCACCGTAAACAGCGCTGATTCTCATTTGCCCATTTATTACATCATGAATAAAAATGATAATTATGATAAAATGTTATTCTATTCTCACACGCAACAGTTCACAGATAAATGTCTGTTGAAAATTTACAAAATAGCGCTCACTCAGCTAAATTTTATTCGTTAATAACTTAAGCAATTAAAAAAAGAAATAGTTTAAAACACATGTATTATAGAAAGCACAGAGATGAAATTAAAATAATAAAAGAGAACATTATAAAATCAGAATCGCACCTATACATTTAGGGAAGGATAGTAAAATAAGTTAATAGAGTATTTTTTATCTTAAACATTAATTTTCTTTAATAGATCTAGCAATCTATATTTTATATTCAATGAAATGTATGTATAATCAAATATTTATAATGAATATTTATGAATTTTTTTTAAATGTACGTTTTCTGATGTATGCAGGACTTTTAGTGTGTGCATGTGTATATGTATATGCGTGAATACTGTGTATCATGTATGTATATGTGTGCGTACAAAAGTGTTGTTTAATTACATAAATATACCAAATTTAACAAAATTAATAATAATTAATAATAATAGTAACATTGTGTCATGATGTAGTCACAAAATAGCAAATCCTTTAAATCCTTTAAAAAAATTTAATCTAGATATTTTAATGTACATATATAAAAAACATAAGAAAGAAAAAAATAATCATAAATTATTCAAACAATGTAAAATGCAAACAAAAAATTAAAGCTAAAGCTAAAGAAAAAAAATAAAGATGAAATCTGGAAATATAAAGAAAATAAGAATAAGTATATAATAAATATAAGGAGCTAAGGAAAAAGGGATTTATAATAAATTCAAAAACCTATTAGAAGTTAGCCCCCCACTTTTTAGAAATAACTTATTTTGAGAGTTGTGCTGAATTGTGCTAGGTTTGTGCTACATTGTGCTCGAATTTTAAAACCGTAATGTGAAAAATGTCATAAAAAATGAAAAAAACGACATTTTAGGCTAGCCCCCCACTTTGCGATTTTTTTAATTTTCTCGATTGTGCTAGGTTGTGCTAGGTTGTGCTAGGTTGTGCTAACATTGTGCCAAAATATTATCTTTAAAAAATAATAACAATAGAAGTTATGATAAAAAATAGATTTGAGAAAAAAAAATATATAAATGACATTTATTCTTATATCAGTCATCTAAAGAGTATGCAAATGCATATCTAATATATACTCGCTTAGCCCAAATCGGCACAA